TCTGTGTCAAATTTCATCAAAATCTTTAGAGTCGTTCCAGAGATACCTTCTAAGAAACATCCATCCATCAAACTTTCTTTTTTAAAATAAATGACCACATGTACCAGTCGTGAGAATAGTACCAACAAAATATGTCCGTAGTAGACGAAGGTTGTTCCTTGTAACCACTACTGAATGTTCTATGTAATTTATAGCCAATTTGTACCTGTCCCGTGTCCCTATGTCAGATACGGATGCGTGAAAATATGTTTTTCCTTTGTTACGACGTTTTTCCATTTACACTGTATGCATTGTACAATTTTTTTGCCCGTAGTTCCTCATTTTCAGAGAAAAAAATTGGTTTTTGGCTTGGATCGTTTCAAGTAATGACCCATTTTAGAAACATTTTCAATTTTATGCTTAAAAAATTATCATTGCTTTTAATAAATGCTTTGAAATCCTGTAATAACTTGCCTTTAAGATTATATTCACCATCATGTTATATAACAAAAGCTTTATTAAAGCTTTTTAGGATGACCTCGCATAGGCCCTGTGGCGCAATGGATAACGCGTCTGACTACGGATCAGAAGATTCCAGGTTCGAATCCTGGCAGGGTCGCACGTTTTCTTTTTCAATATATTGTCAGTATTGAATTTTTAATTTTATTTTGATAATTTTATAACAATATTTGTAGTAATTTAGTTCCATTATCCTTGGTTTTAAAACCGTACTTATAAATCTTGAAGAAGAATCTTGTAAACACGAAAAAAAAATTAAAATGTCTTGAAAATATGACACAGATTGAAAAATAAATAAACCAATTATACCCTTAACTCCGGTACAAAGAGAGATTAAGTCCTGAAAAAGGGAGCTTAACAATAAAAATTATGAAAAGATAAATTGTACCAGAAGTAGGCTAATTACCAAGAAAAGTTAAAGTTTATTAATCTTTTAACTTTACAGAATTTATTTATAGTACGTTTGATATTCTGTAGTCTCTAATGACGCCATTAATATTTTGTCTAATATGATTAATGAGCTCCAATCTGAGAATTCTCTCCTGCGGAATTCAAATGTGCTCTTCATTGTTGAAATCTATGCGGTGACTAGTGACGTCACACGTGTATATTCATCATAGTATAATATCAACATTATCTTTTTGACAGTTCAAGTTTGATTAAAAAAAAAAACATTACTCGTCAATTGATAAAATGATGTTAGCATTCGGTAATTAAATTGTTTTAGTTTAGAGAATTTGTCGTCAGAAAATTTCATTAGAAGGGATCGTTCTCTTTCACTTCAACTTTGTTCAAACATCAGTCCTTATTATCTAATTGGATACCAGTTCAATATTTGACTATTTACTTTGTGTAGAATTTCATCCTTTTCTATTAACAAAATACTGGGAAAAAAAGTTGAAAGTTTTTATATTATTAGGTTATTTATAGTATTTTTTTATTATAATATAATGGTGGCACAAGTAAACGATACTTACTCCGTTGGCACATCGACCCAAAGTGGGTCTTGGCCTCCGACACAAAAGATCGCCAGAGTCACCTGTCTTGCACCTTCTCCCGCCAGTCCAAAGTAAACGATACAAGATGAAAAAATTAAAGTAATTTTTGTCATCACATCTGTTATCAATTGTCATGAACTGTCGATCAATCAGTCTTCCATCAACTCAGCCGTGTAAGATTTATGAGGTGGGAATAATATGGAAAACAGTACGGCCACGTGGGATGTCGCGCTCCGTAGCACTTCAAAAGGTTCATTCGCTTCAATGCATTAAAGCTATCGATGCTTACATCGATCAAATTCAATGATATATCGAAAATAAATACCAAATCATTGAAAGAAACGTCAATACTTGGTTTATTTTTACTTTTACTTTAGTTTTTACTTCAAGAAACAAGCCACGACTTCTTTGAGGTAGATATGTACAGATAATAAAATAACAAAAGTTACTGGCTGAAAATAGTTTTAAGGTTGTATGATTTTCGAATATTGCATTCACATTTTTGAATTTATTCGTAACCACAATTTAAATATTTTTCCTTTATATTATTGTTATTCTACCTAAGTCAGAACTAAATAGCCATTCTAGGAAAACTAATTTAGAAGTCTTTAACTGTAGTTCCAGTCGTTCGAGTACGAAACGAGATTCGTTTCGTTTTAAACTTTAAAACTGTATTTTTGCAGTAACGTCTGAGTGGGCACGTTCAAGAGGTAAACTCTCAAAAGGTTCAGTACTCGCAAAAAACCAAATTAATTAGATTTGAAAAGTCTAGTTGCACGTGAATTTATTTATTTAAAAAACATTGTAAGCTATTTGATACTTAGTTAAAATACTTCTTTTTTCTTTCAGTTTTCTAAAAGAAAATGATTCATTTATTTTAATTTTGTATTGAAGCTGAAAGTAAACATTGTTTTAGTCGACATGAACAATCAAACAAAAAGTTTTCAGCGAAAAGATTTTTCTCTCTGTATTTATAATTCTCCAGCGATTTAACCACAAAATTGCGTAGCCACGTAAACTTTCCATTTTGTATTGTTCTTTATAAAATATTTTACATTACACGGAATTATTTTGGGTTATATATATATTTTTTTAATTTAGCACACTTCTGTGAAAGTCACGAATATTTGCAGTCATATTCTTTTAGTATTCTATTTCTCAGAATGATAGGTTTTTTTAAAGACAATTGCCTATTTCATTTATGCAAATAACCGACAATATATATGAAGTCCTTGTTTATTTGATAGATTGCATTCATTTGTTTCATATTTTGTTATATCGCAATTAATTTCTTCAAGTATTATGTACATTATATAGTAAAACATATTAAATTCCTAATAGCCTATTCAATTTATCCTTAGCCCAGTAATAAATGTGTGTAATTACTAACGCGTTGAATGTAATTCTGCCAAGGCCTATACACACTTGAAAGTTGAAAAGGTAGCAAGATTCTGTATATATTATTGTAAAAAATAATTAAGAAGATACTATGAATTGGCGTCTTTCTCATCAGTGTTGAGTGCTAAATTACGTATTTGAACTCTTTGGTAGGTATAGATTAAACATTCTGCCAAAAAGGTATCGTACTAGCCACTGAGAACCTTGGCTTTATAATTATGAAAAAAGGAAAAAAATTTGAGAATCGCGCGGGAAGTCGAAGGGTTAACGAGATATAGTATAGTATAAAGGTTGAAAAATTAAAAATATTTAAAGAAATAAGTTTTGTTATAAATATTTAAAAACGTTAATAAATACATTTTGACTGCCGTACTGATTACAATTTGTCATAAGTTCTTAAAAAAAATTAAACAAACATACACTTTGTAACATAATTTATTGAAAATAATGAACTTCTCATTCCTTTATTTATAATTTCGTAATCCAAAATATTTTAACTTTAGCATAATACAATAAATGTACAACAACTGTTGTTTATACTAAAAGCGATTATATAAATACAAAATTCAGCTCTCATTAATAGACAGGAATTCTTTCTTTACATTATACGAAGTATATTACTATTTAAATATTCGTAGATATAAAGCGAAATAATCATAACATGTTAATTAAATTGAAACTTACAATTCAAACCTTCATACAACGCATAGTCATTTATTGATAACTTAAGTATTCCTTTAGTGTAAAAAAAATCCTAAGTCGACATTAAAGTTATTATCAGTCAAATTATTTGTTATAAACATTAGGGGGCAAACGAACAGCGGGAACACCGAGGTGTTCATCGACGCCCGTGGATATCTGCAAGACATCAATTTGCGCAAATCATACTGTATGCAAATGTAATAAAAGGACGTAACATGTTACATGTGAGCGTTACACATTTCACACTTCAATAAATACAAAAATGATCAAATTGAAGCTAAATTATTAGGAAAAATGTCATCTGCCAATTCACGATGTAAGGGTTCAACGTGTTCTTCCGCTTTATGGATTTGCAGATGTAATTTCCTTTTATTGAATTACCTTTACCATTTCACATGTTTAACATTGAAATTAGAAACTTTTTTGATTCTAAAATTAAGCAAAAACTACGAATATTTGTTTATTGTTATTTTTATAACAAGTTGAGAAATAAAAAAAATTATATTTTGGTCTATTCCATTTTCGACTAGTTACTAGTTTTAATATTAATGAGACAAAATGGCAATGTAAACAAAAAGTTTACTTAGGTTCAAGCAAAAGTGTACCTCTAATCATCAGTATATAAGCTTATATTGAAATAAGTGAGAAATGGCCTGAAATAATCATGTTAAATGATTCTGTTTCTATTTGACGCATACTTAATTTGTCAACATCAATACTTTGAGATTTAATTAAGTGCTATATTACAAGTGCTCTTAAATAGGCTAAAAGCTTTTATATATAAATGCTTTTAAGAATTAATTTCGTAATTGTTGCCCGACGTATCTTAATACGAATATTTTAACTAGTGCCTTAATATCTATTAATTCTACTTCAATCTAACTTTTTAAAGGTCCCTAAGAATAACTCGACCACTTTAAAAAGCGACCAAACCTCCCGTTACTAAACGTATTTTATGAACAATTTGTAATGCACACATTGGCACTTGATATCATAATATACACCTACAAAGTTATCTGGTCCGGTGAGCATAAGGGTACTGAATTAACATAGCTCACTAGCGTCCTACCATCAATATCGCTAGCTTTATGTCGTACTTTTCTATCCTGTCGTGTTTTTTCTTTAAAATAATTTTGTTTGCTAAGTAGGCTTCAAACATTTTCTGGCAGAACTAACCAAGATAGTAGCGAATTTCTCACCGGGCCAGATATCTTTGTTAAACTATATTTTTCTAAATTATATTTACACAAGCATCTGTTAGTTGTAGTTTTATTACGAAGGATGTAAAACCAAGAAGGTACATTAATAATAAAATAATTCATATATCTATAGCTATTTTGTTTGATTCGTTCGAGTCATTTGGAAGTAGCTGAGAAAGAAAGGTCCTAAAACTTACTATATTTTAATATCACTTTTGGCTTAACTTTTGTCAAATTTATGACAAGTAATTTGTGCACCATTTTATCAAATGCTTAAATATCTACTTACGTAGCCTTATAACTTGATTATTCATTCAAAATGCGAAGTCTCCACCGTGTCTGTGAATACACAATTATTCCATTCATTGCTTAAAATGAAAATATAAGGCACTGCCTTATAAAATTACCATTAGCTTATAACTACATAGGAGTATAGCTGTTACTATTTAATACGTTTTAGCTTAAATGACCTTTGAATATGAAACGTATCTTATTTAAAAGACTTTGGTTGTATGGATTTTTTTAATTGACTTTAACTGGCGGTGATGAATTATCGAAATTTCAATATAATATTTATTACCAGTAGTCAAAGCAACAAGCAATTTTATATGCACCTATCTATTTAAGAGTACAGTAAATATTTACATATCTTAAGTTAAACTTATATTCAATATTCCATGTATAAATATCGTAATAGTCAACAAATATGGACGATTAACTATATCGGTCTCAAAGTACTATACAATCCGATTTAATTTTACATTGGTTCTTATATTAGACGTTGGCAAGCTCTTTTAATAATGTAGAAAGTTCCATCATTGAACTTTCGAAAGCGCTATTAAATAAATGTGACTGCACTCGAAGGCTATAGAGGTGTTTCTTCTCCAGATTCACATTGGGGTAATCTTATGACTCTAGGTCCGGCTAATACACCAATGCCATCTAAACATGACCTCCTATTTGCAATTACGTCTCTTAGAAATGCTCTTCGAGGTCCTGCTAAATCTGTCCCAGTTATGGATCTAGTTATTCGTCGTAACGCAGGTAATTTTAATGCTTCTTCATAAGGCGGGGGTTCATCAGTAGGAGTTGTTTGTGCTCGACCTCCAAATGGATCTCGCGAGCACGTAGGAGATAATTCTCTTGAAAAATATAATGTATTCTCTCCGTTCCTTCTCACTTGTTGTTCTGATATTAATTGGTAATTAGGTGAAGTGTTGTTTGTAAAATCTTCTAATATTTGTCTTGCACTTCTAGCTGTTGTTAACACTCCAGCCCAAGAACGCCTATTTTGTTTAATATCAAAAGATCTAGTGCTATCAGCAATGTTACTGCTTGAATGTGTACTCGCTATTAGTACTTTAGGTCTACGAGTAGGTTCATCAAAAGATGCAGCTTTCACAGTTGGCCTGTACCTTTGTTCGGATTCCATATCGATTACTACAGGATTGGTATTTTCAGTTGGTTCTTCCCTAAGCGCGGCGTCGATACGCATTGCTTCAGAATAAGAAGGTACTAAGGCACAGTTACCTCGTATTGCGGCGAATAATTCTAAACTATCGACAGTAGATGCATGAGATAAAGGAAGAGTACGAGGTGGACGGGGAACAGAAGACAATACTGCGCTCTGCTCATCAGCAAGGTTCCAAGCGTAATTCGCAGCTGGTACTGGCGGCAGAGTGTCCGATAGATGTGTATCTAAATCAAGCTGTCGACTCGGATCCAATTCATAGTTTGTACCAAAAATTTTAGTTATCTGGAAGAAAAAATAAAATTATTGTACGATACTCGTCTATCACTTATTTCTGAAAAGGAATTAAATTTATTACCGTATAATGAACGTAAGCTGTATTACATTCAATAATGATACGTAGAGGCCACGACAGAAGCAAACAAGACAACGTCCAAAATAATATTTGTGAAGAATACCAAGGACATCGATCAGCTTCTCTGTAAACAACAAATAAATTAAAAAAAACATAATGACGTATAAAATAAACATTTTAAATAATAAAAAAGAATTTTACCTGTAAGCTACCATATATTCTTTAAATGAACTGACACCTATTAGATCCAGACCTTCCCGCATTTCCATAAAATCATCAAAACGCTCATGCTCAGCGAAAAATCTTGATCTCTGATCTTCGAATTCTAGAAAAGATTTTCACACCATATTAAAGTGAAAAAGAAAACAAGTTTTAAAATTTTAAGACATCGGTTGAATAACTATTGCATTTGACACAGAATTGCGCTGACTGCCACTTGGAGTAAATTTGTCTTACTACTTCTAAAATGAAGAAATCCATTAGTAGCTACAAACAATACTGAGTATGGCTTATGGAAGAAAGAATGAGGTAAAACTATAAGAGAGAAACAAAGACAAAGAAGACAGAAAAAAGAGACCATAGAAAAATAATTAAAACAAAAAAAAAATTCATTGTTATATTACGAACGAACATATACATAACGAACCGATGAAAATGTGGCAAAAAGGTTTTCTACAAATTATATCGTAGCACTTACCGCTAGCAGCTTCGATATTAGCAAAAGCAAATCCTTTACTGAATCTGACTTTCGTGATGGGTGTTTTAGAGTCCAGCACCAGGTTCCTGGATGCGTCCCGCTGCCCGCAACACGCGTGCGCGAAAGACGTGCTAGCGCTATGCGTGTTTACTCGTTCATAATACACCTAGGATAATCTTTAATTTTACTTGCAATAATAAGGAATTATTTCATAACAAATATTGCTGTAATTGTAAACTTCAAAGGAGATAGTTTTATGCATACGATTTTTTCTGCTAGGATTCTGAAATGTAAATGGTATTTAAATGTACATACTCTAATTCACATAGAAGTACTTTTGTAATGTCGACTTAAAGCTAAAATTAGCTTTTCTTTCGAAAGAAGCTATATTTAAACTTAAAAAGTTCTAATTTATGTAACAATTTTATAATTAAAAACAATATCACGATTTTTTGTTCCTATTTGTTTTGTATGTTGTAATTTCCGTGCAAGCATGGTTCCTTACTCCATATTTATAGCTGGGTAGTTAATCTACGATCTACACGGGGGTGTAGCACGTAATGCTAGTTTCACACAAGGGTAGAACATTGAGGCGAATAGTAGGACAGTGCAATATTGCTATTGATTGAACGAATTACAACTTAGACAGAACAGTTTTATTCGTATAAAGTCTGCGTCACTGCTCTGTCTTACTTTTCTGTCCTCGTGTAAAAGTTGCATTGGTCACGCACCTGTGTGGTCGTGTAGGCGTCTCCGTTGCGATACCTCGTCACCTGTCGCTTGCGCCTCACGTAATGGTAGCAAATCGCTTTCCACCTGTGTATTTGAAAGCAATTTAATATCGAGCTGTATAGTTTACAGCTACGCTAAAAGTAATAAGTCATATCCTAGACGAATACGGCTATTATTTAAAAGGCTTTAAAATTTCAATGATAATATTGTTTATTATTTACACTCTTCATCATAATTTATAATGCGAAAGATTTGATGGACAGATGAATGTTTGTTAGAAGGTATCTCCATAACATAACATGAATGAAATCTCACTGAAATTTCGCGTAAACGTAGAAACTAGTCTGGAATAACACATAGACTACTTAATAAAGTTTTTATAATTCTTAATAAGTGGGGGGCGCTATCTCGTTAATAAAAATACAAACCATACTCTCGGCGTGGCATTCCTCATGGCGTGCACTCTCGCGCTGACCGCAGCGACGTCTACACGTCTCGCCAGTTGTATCCTTGCCGTACTGTGGTAGCACTCCACCAGATACACTAAGTATAACAGCAGGACGAATGCTATAGGAATGTACGCGTAGCCAACGTCGCATGGTGACTCACGAACTGTACGCTTTATTGGAAACCTAAAACAAACAGTTTATCAGAGGAAAATCTAAATTCTTTAGTCCGATGATCCTATATAATTTTATATAGGCTTGTTTCGCTGATAAATCTATTATCAGTCTATATTAATGCTATTTAAGTTTAAAACTACCAGTGATTTTAAGACGTAGTGAACAAAATGACGTATATTTATACTAAGTTGAAATAAATCAAAATAACGTAAGCTTTTACACGTAGGACCAAAGTGGCATAATAAATAAACGTGATAAATTTGCAAACGGAGAAGTGTACGTCATAAAATATTAAAGGTTATTTACGAAGTTTGTTTCCAGTGTAGCCGTGGGACGATCCTCTGAAAGGTGCGATCTAAAATAAACCTCACTTAAAATAAAATTTATCAAATAATATTTTCACTTCAATATTTATTTTTCGAGAGGATTGTGATTTTTTGGGAGTGTGACAAAAGGAATATTAGGACGTATACAACAAAGCACAAAAATAATAGCGTAGAGTAAAATTTTATGACAAAAATTTCGACAGTTTTAAATACGTAAAGAAAATTTTTTTACACAGATGATTGCACAACAATGTTATTCTCTTATAAAGTTCTTAATCTCATTTTTAAAGTTTTACCTAGTCTTTTGAATCGTTGAAAATTGATGGAGTTTTTTTGTTAAATAATGCAATTTTAATAATGGCATAGGTGAATAGGAATAAACTATTTCCGTTTCGTCATCTTTAAGCATTAGAATTGTTCTATGTATATTCGTTCACTGACCGCGCCTTAGCCAGGCCACGACGCTTCATGTGAAATCACTGTATGTGTACTCACGTATTAAGATCGATAAGTTCTCGGTCTATCTCGGCGGTGTTGCACCAGGCGACGGAACCGAGGCAGCCGGCAATCATCAGTGTCAGCAGGAAGCACTTCCAGTTACCCTCACGCCGTAGCACCCCGCCCAGGCTCTGCTGTCGAGGACGCTGCCAAATAATATCACCATGAACAAGTAGAAATGGAACTAAACCGATTATTACTAGATATGTAACTGGATAAGTTTTTGTGCTGCTATTATAACTGTAGAGCACTACGGCGTAGCAATTTACATAAGTTCCCACTGATGAAAACATTGTTATCTTTTTTCAAAAACTAGAGGTAGAACGTAGAGCTACGTTTCTACGGCGTAGCAATTAAGAAATCAAAAAACCTCAGACGTCCAAACTATAAATGTGAATTAACAATGTTAAATACATCCCAAAAAAGGTATAAAACAATTTGCGTGAGGTCGGCGTGCGGTCAGCATTACTCTAAAACCAGTCTAAGACAGACATGTATGATACGACAATTTCATCATCAAATTGTATACTGAATAATGTAGTGTACTTAAAAATAAAATGGGTGCTCATAACGAATTCCATTGTCTGGTTATATGAAACAAAGAATATGCGGGAAATCAATAACGTAAGAGTGATTCTGGCAACCTTGTTACAGTATGATAATAAGCTTTGTGCGATTCACGAATACATATTAGTATGTTGCAAAGCTCTGATATAAATTGAACATATCTTTTTATCCGAAATTTTATTTTACTGTACTCAAAACAAGATTTTTCGCCTAATATCAGTAATATGAAAATAATGTAGAATTTCGAATATCTATTTAGGAACAGTTTAATTAAAGCAAAATAAATATAAATAGGCTACAAAATATGAAAACTAAGTAGCAAAAGCTCTACAGGTGTCGATCGATAATCCACGATTCTATTTTCAACGATACGCTACTTATTTTCGTCATGAAAATATAGTCTAAATGTAAAACGATTAAAGCATTAGTAAGTACCATTTTTAATCCACGATGATAGATTCTTATCATAGATTAAATACTCTAGAAAAAGACCTACAGTATCATGAGTACAAGTTTTTGTAATTTCACTTTTAAAAGAAAAATTACCATTTTCCTTTGGCAGTAAAAATAATTACTTTAGAAATTTAAAATACATTACCAAGCACTTAATAAACAACTCTCGTCTCTAATTCGTAAAATTAAGCTTTATGTTTTAGCGTAAATATTTCATTAACTGGGCAATTTTATAGATAGTGATCTAAACTTTAATATCAAGGACATATTTAGTTAAGTTCGTCAATCCATTTTATCAATTATCATTAACTATCACCCGCGACTACGTCCACGCGGAATTTAAGACAGTTAATTAGTAGCCTTTGTGTTCTTCCAATCTATGTTCAACATCTCTGCCAAATTTCAGCGAGATCCATGCAGCCGTTCTGGAGATATCTTCCACTAAACATCCATCCATTCAAACATTCGAATTTATAATGTTATAAAGATTACTAAATAATTAAATGCTTTTAAAACATAGTTTCGAGTTAAATTGATTTAAAAATTGTTTTCGGTATGATGTTAGTTTAACTGTGAGACAAATTTCTGTCTCTGTTTTTTTTTTTTTTTAATTTGATGCAACACATTTTATTCCATAACCCACATTTTCAATTTCGTTTTGACTAGTTTCTAGTAAAGCTCAAAACGTGGTACTCTGATTCACACAAAAATTAAATTGTCAAGTCAATACGTCTTGGATCCAATAATTTCGATTAACCAAATATCTGGAATAGTCTTATTAATATGGATAGAGATATATAGTACGTTTCGTCGTTAAACAATGTCAACATGATATTAACATTATGGCACAAGTAACATACTTTCCGATGCCGGAACGCCCGCGGTGCTCCAATAGCGGCAGGTCAAGGCCCACTTCATACTATGTCATGGTTTTGATGTTAAAGGATATACCTTTAATAAAAATGACATTGCGTTCGCTATAGAAATTTTAGCTTTGACATATGACAAAAAAAATGCATTGGTATTCATATATTGAAATCTGAAATCATTTGTGACATTTTAAAAACATCTTGCTTTCATCGTTATCTCGCTTCTCTTATCACGGTTGACACAACAGGGTTTGGTCTCCTAAATGATGTTATCTATTATCCGTCATTTCTGTCGTCACTGCCTTCTTTATATCCTCCACGTGTGTTAATATCTTTTTCTAATCTGTTCTTGTAACTCTTTGCTACGTAAGGTGGGCCTATAAAGGTTAAGATTGCGGATCAGGAGATAATTAGTTAAGGTCTGTGGAAATGAATCGCTTTTATGTTTGACATTTGATATTATTTGGAAATGTATACATTTATTTCATGATGCATTGCGTTTCTCTGCAATATGCTAAACATAAAACAGTCTATTTGAAAGTCAAGGCGCACGGTTGGAAGCAAATTTATGGTTAAGGCGGTTCAAAGAAAGGCGTTGACCTTCTCCTTGTAACTTATGTTATTGTAGTAAGCTTCGTATAAAATGTTCAGGGTTTTTGTTATAATTGTAGTGTAATTTGCAAACAACATTGTCATAGTAAGGACAGTACTTTAAAACGTATTTGCAGATATTTGTCAAAATGTTATTAGTTAAATGCAACTTTATAGTTGCAACATACGTCATTGTGTTAAGAACTATATAAGGAAAACTTTCACGTCAACCATAAAAGGAAATGCTCACAATGAAAGAGCTTTATGTACCATATAAAATTGCCATTGTGACATTTTCCGCAACCGGAAGTAAATATTGTGAGATGATAAGAAAAAACTCTCTTTTCTATTTTTACTTAATTCAAATTGAAAACGAAAATGTATGTTTTTTTAACTAATTATTTATTTCATTACGAATATGAAAATTCTCAAAACTCAAAGAACATAATCACTTAAACTTTAGTCTTCCATTTAAATAGACCCAAATGACAAAGTTCGTCTTTGTAACCAAGTTTCTAAAGTTGTTCGTTACCCTTTATTTATTGAGTTGTCCTTTACAGTTTTTGTTTGCAGTAAAAAAAATCTAAATCTTTTTACCATCCATATAGATAATCTTTTTAACAATCACTAATCAAAGATCCTACTATACATTAAATGATATTATCAAACTCTAGAAACGAAATATCTCTAAAGCAGTTTTCTTAACAATCATCATGTTATCATCATCACTATCATTATGATGATCATCATCAGATCATTATCATCCTAGCAACGTTTTCCACCTGCGCTATATTAAAACATCGTCTAATATTCATTCTTTCTTCCTTTTCTTGATGTGCCTCTCCGACTAACGAAGGTTCATTCTATATTTAGCATAAATGATAAGCTCAATTAATTGCAAATTAGATAGTAAATTAATTTACCTCAGAAATAGACGAATAGATGTAAAAGCATTACATTCCTAACAAGCTAGCACTAATTACAATTATGTTTAATAAATCGTGTTCTGTAAGGTTCCCCATAGCTACGCTGGTTTTATGAGAACACGTTAATATTGTAGGGGCACCGAACAGTTCAGCATACCTAATAGTGTACGCCGGGGAGTTTGCTAGTTGTATAGTTATATACGGCTTCGTACGTGAACACAATGCGGACTCAGTTGCTGGAAGCGAAACTAATCTAATGCGCTCCAGAGATCATTTGATTACTAACAGGTAATCGATTTTTCAAATGCTTTGTTCTATTTTAGAATCGATATCTCTTATGTTGTCGAGTTAAGAGCAGTACTAAGAACTTAGATGTTATTGAAAGATGTAATAACTTTTGTTTGGGAGCTTAGACCTAAATAAATGTCAAAAAAGGGTGTTCTAAAATGTGTTATTATAAATGCGAAACCAAAGTTAGTTTTATTTCTATTTTTTTCTATCGCATTGTTTATAACAAAAATAAAGTTTGCTAACAATTTTTTTTTAAGAAATATTTTCAAAACTCTTCCAAAAAGCAAATGGAAAACCGCGGGAAAACGGGTGCTATGACCTCGAACCCTCGGTCTGGGATGATATTTTCAAATCGTATTTAAAATAATAAATCCTCAACATCTTATTGAGACGTATAAAAAACGGTAACACTCATATTAAAATGTAGCCTAATGTTTTCGAAATAAAGTTCAATTTACAAAATACATTGCAGTGAACTTAACAAAAGGATCATGTTTTTCCTTTCTATGTGGTTCTATAAAAGGAAAAAGTCCTCCCGCATAAAAAGGTATTATTACCATACGCCTCTCGGTTTTCTCGTTGTTTTCTCTAAGACAAAGGATGATTCAATTGTTCGCTTAGAATAATAACTTAACAATACAATATCATCCAAAGATCCATTTCAAAAGATACATTTTAAAGAAAAATATACATTGAAAAGGTAAAAGAAAACGAAATAACATTCAATTCATTAACAACGTGAATCTCATCTCCGAATACTGCAGATGTACTTTTACATAACGGAATTTGGACCGAATCCAAAAGCTCTTGAATTATATAATAATAAAGTTTATTATATAACAAAGTTTAACAACTGAAACGGAATACAACAATTCTATATACTTAATTAGCATAATTTTATACCTGGCACGAAATTTAACCTTTTAGAAAAACATTACAAACTTATTTAACATTAAGGACTTAAAGTTTTAGTAAGAGACGTCTGAGCTTGTACCAATACTACATAAAAAAATTTAAACTATATTTGTTTACCACATATATCATAGTTTATAGTTTAAAAAACTTTTTGTAAGTCTTAAATCAAGACCTTCATTTTTAATTTAATTAAATTATAATACTAACTTATAATTTAAAAATCGAAAAACGTTTATTCATTGTTTCTGTTACAACTTTAAGTTGTGTTCTATACTAGTTTTTTATGAACTTAAATCAAATACCTACCAAATCCTCATCGTCGTCGGTGAAAATATTTGCTCGATCCTGCGTAGTCATACCTCCTTATTGTGCACACACAAAAAACAATTCTTCATGGCTCACACACACAATACACAACCCTCCATCACTGAACACTTTAACTGCATCCAAAGTTTCCCCTATATTTCACTGTACTCCAAAATTCATTATTAACAGAGATTTTAACATTTATCGATACTAAATAAACACTTAAATTTATTCTATAAATAGTAAATAAAGAAAGACTTTGTACGAAATAAAATCCGAATGTTTATTTACGAAGTCGCTTGTCGATGTCGATGAAGCGAGCTTTCGGGGCGGAGTGAGAGAGCTTACTGCGGGAACGAAGGGCGGGCGGCGGGCGAAGTGCTGCAGCGTCCCGTTGTCATGGTAACGCGGTACGTCGCTGCGGAGGGAAGCTTTTCAAATTCTATTTTGTCGGACGTAATTTGGTGAATATTTAAAATAAGCCGAAACCTTGACGTTGCTTTAGTAAAGTTTTTTTTTTATTTGGACATAATGTTTATGACAAAATCATGTAAATATTCTTTAAAAAAATGATAAGTGTACCAGAAAACAAAATGGATTGATTATTTGTACGCATTAATATTATTATTACAAAAGGGACCGTATACAATAATAAATAAAAGATATTTTTTGGGTATCGCTTTTTGTTGGTAAAAAATCTGTACTACTATAAAAACGAACAGAATGCAAATCGGAGGAAAGGTGAATTTTATTTCGTTGGCCGCTACGGAGGTGATTTATGTTGATACGTGCCGCTCGTAAGTAATTACATATACACGAAGCAGTTGAAATATTAGGGTTGGCACTCAAATTAAATTTACTACCGAGATTTAATCGTAAATCGTTACAGCCCTATACTATATGACCTAAGCTTACTAATAAAAAAAATTAAAACACCTAATTCAATAAGGCTTATTTAATTTTTTTTGAAAAAAGTAGGAGGCTTTCTCTTATTCTTTAAGTATGTAGGCCTTATAAGCGCTTTAAACAGCATTTTATATTATTAATTATCATTATTTATTTTATTTCATTTTATTAGCAAAACCTTTATTAAGTAACAAGCATGATTAATGGAGATTATGTTAAATAAATACATATTTTATGTGTTGAAAATTGAATTAGAGTTAATACTCGGCTCTTCACTAGTCTGTGTTGTTGATTTCATAGTTTCACAAACACGGAAGGGAACGGCTACGATATATCCCTGGGGTCACTTGTTAATCGAATTTTACGACATCCAAAGAAAATGGAGACGATTCTATTTGACATAAATAAAAGTGGTACGGTTAATAAAATTATTTATCTTTCTATGAAAACTTAAATTCACTATCTATCTTATTTACGTAATAAACATTATTTATAGTAAGAGTTAAGCAATCAAAGTGACGAAAGGCCAAAGTCGTAATTTCGTCGATATTATTGAGCCCACATATCTGTAAATCGCTTCCAATTTTAAGGATCAAATAATTTTTAACCTTTTACCGAAATTCTTATTAATCCTTACAGTTCGATGTTCAAATAAAATACATGAAATAAAAGTAGAAAAACTTCATTCCATTCTCTTTAACGAAAATAAAGTAATATAATATGATTTGACAGAATAAACTCGGCTTGAAGAAATATTTATTATTCTAACTCAAAAAAGTTTTGTAAATGTTACAAGTAATATTAGCAAATTCTAAATGATTTTATTGTTTTTTTTTATTTCTATTGTGATTAATAAATAACCAAAACACATTTAGCATCACTTAGATGCACTTGTATAACTTCGTATTGGAAAGTGTGTTGAACATCGCTTCGTTTTTAATTAAAAATAAATTATTAGTCCACATTACGTTCCAATATGCGGGCACATCACAATGATATCCATTGAGGTCGCGTCTGCTGCACTCCAGCGATCAATGATCGTAAACACAATGACGACATGCACTTATCAACATCGGTAATTTCACTAAATATTGTCGAATAAAATTATTTTCAGAATCTTATTAAATAGCAGTTATAATACTATGTTATAAGGGAACATTTTCTATTAAAATACATTGTATATTAATTAAAAAACAAAAACCTGATGTCATAAGACACTCAAGGACAAAATACTATTAGGATGACACGTCGTCAAAATCAGTTTAGTCGTTTTCGTTACAGGCGGTTACAATGAAACTTGCATTCAAACACACACACGCACACACACACACACACACACATACACAGACACACACACAATCATTCGCGCGCAAAATCATTCACACGCAAAACATTATCCTTCTAAGTAAATCGAATGTACAGTACGAAAGTTTACAATTTTTTGTACCTAAATTGGGGATTAAATTATTATTAGCTCCAAGAAAATAATTAATGTCACTTTCAGAGTTGGAATTCCTGTCATTTACAGATTTTTAAATTCTTCTCGTTTTTTCTTTTATACTTCTAAGTGAATCAACGAAATTGTAGATTCATTTTATTCGTACAACAAAATAACATAATGCTTTGTATATTTTTTAAATATTCTTATAGAAAATTCATGAATGTTTGTAAACTATGTAGTAACATTTAACAAAAAAGCTTCTTGAAAATAAGTGAGGAGATCCTGACCAAACATTAATAAAGAACAAATCATGAGCTTCAAAGGCAAATGAGCGAATGTTCAATGGCGTGTTCAGATTGTAATGGTTCAATACGCGGCGTCGTATCGCGTAACTCTAATCTCCTCGATTATGAAGTCATTCTTGTTCACAATATGATACTATAATAAATATTTAACAATGGTTTACGAGCAATATCTTTTTACGATGACACTGTAACTGACGCAATCAAAGTGGTTAACTAAACAGTAAGGGAGTTCCTTAGCAGGTCATCGTATTAAATCTAAACTAAGGAAGACCACTTCATCTCATTATGGCAAAAAGAGTCTTTCTTGGTTAAAATATACAATGAAATTTACAACCGTCTTTGAAATTCTATCCGTATTTCTCTAGGAAATAACAATGTTTTGTACCCCTGTTCCAATAGTAGAAAAACAAGATAAAAGAATATTCTGTTACTTTCTTTACTCATCTCAATGTTCATCGTTTGAGTATAAAGTTGATTGTCACAATAGTATCAGTCGTAAGTAACAAATCACACTTCAAATTTGCGTTCAAGTTAATAACTTGATTGCACCATTTCGTAACTTGTAACAACTCAGTACTGGGAGTTTATCCTTTAAAGTATAGTATCAATTCTTGTAGCCTAGTATGAACAATGTTACATTATGTACCATACCTCGTGTTCCTTCATTATACCTCGTCGCCCTCATTACACTCCGGATAATATAACGAACACGTTGCTCCCGATCACTTTCATGCGACCTGAGCTTTAGAATCTGTATTTATTTATAGATCACTCTTATGCTTAAAGGTTGTTAATATATTCGTATCCCACTGATTACAATATCTAAAGTTATTTAATTACAATCATCAATTTTGTTTCTTCTCACATCACATAGACAACAAATCTCCACTGTACCAACATGGTTGATGAAGGCCTAGTCACCTTGTCTAGGATAGGCTTCAGACCCTTGATGGGGACAAGTATAAGCTCGTTACTACCAAAAAAACAGCATCAAAGGGTAAATAATAAAATACTATTGATTTATAAAAAACGCGTAACATATTTTACCATCTCCCAGCGGTGAAGACAAATAAAATTCATTTTGTAAGGACGAAAAGGCAATTATGTGAAGAGTACTTCACTCAGAGCTCGAACTTAAATTGAGGAAGTTCGTACATTTGATAAATAACTAATGATTTCGCTTTGAACAATTCTCAAGAATTTCCGGAAGGTATAATATCGGCAGATAACAAAAACTTCTAATTTATAACACACACGCACACAAAGATTAAATAAAGCACACTTCAATTAAAGTAACAGATAAGTGGAAAAACTATCCTTACTACTCCTTATTACTATTATACATGCAAAAGTAACTTCGTCTATAAAAAAGGGGTTGTAGTGGTTGAAAAGGGGCTTGGAAATTTGTATGAAAGTATCGTTATTTTTTCAGTGTAAAGCTTGAAACGTAGTTCTGTTTAACAACACATTTTTCAAACAATATATTACTATTTATTTTTATTATTAATCTGTTGATTTATTTTGTGTAAATCCACATACATAAAGTACTTAAAACATCATAAGTGAACAAGTTTGTTATTGTTGAAGATAATATGAGATACATTTTTGATGGGAGACTAATAAAAAGCGGCGATAGTGAATGACGTGGGTTGTAATAACATAATGCGGGGCTTGGGCGCCGTGACGTCGCGACCGCACGGCGTCTATCCGAATATCGCATCTCTCCAAGAAAGCACGATACAGTCACTACGGATTTTTTCCATTTTCTCAATATATTTAGAGCTGTCGCCTATGACTCCATCCGCACGGTATACATAAAAAATTAATTTACATCCTATGAGTTCTTCCAGACTGTGTTCTACATCTGTACCAAATTTCAGTGAGATCCATGCAGTCGTTCTAGATATACCTTCTGTTTGTTAGAAACCGAAAATGATCTTTTCTAAGGTACAGAATGAATTATTTTGCACTTAAAACCGTAGGTACACTTTCATCCCTTAGTGTAATTTTTAAGTAAAATTAGAAAATACAGACTTTCGTACCCCTTAAATATCAATCTTACGCAGAATCGTTTCCGAAACAAACCAATGACTCAGCGAAGCTTTATCGACTAGTCAGGGGTTGCCAAATGTGTCCGCAAAGCCAAGGTCAAACTATAGACTATGCAGTATTTTCATTGTAAACAAAAACGTATCTAAAATGAACGGGGATACGATCGAAATTCGTATATCTTTTTAATGGAAAAAAATATAAATAAATCGAAAGTATTAATTGTTATTAACTTTATTGCTGATGGCTAATTGCTTGATTCCATTTTCAAGCTATCACCATATAAATTAATTTAACTAATCTTATTAAAAATAATATGTTAAAAATTTTATTTTATAGGTATTCTTGTTTGGTAACTATCGTTTTATAATTTTCAGTCTTTTGGCTTTTTTTAGCCTGGTTATGTCCAATTTTCTATTATATGCAATAAATTCAAAAGCATTGAAAATCTCCAACAAAATTAAGTATAACAAACTTTATAAAAAGTTTAAAAGCTACTCGTATTTTACAAATAAAGGTTTCCTATAATCTATGATTCTATCTATCTACTACACGAGCAATGGTTGAAGTGTGACAATTTGTTCGCGTCGACTGGAGTAATCAATTTAGCCAATTGGATACCGTAAATATTTCAAACTGGATAACAGAGAAAAAGAGCTTCATTTTAATTAATAAGAATAATAATGACAAAAACAAAAGCATCGTCCCAACAAAATAACGTGGCTAATTTATATTATATACTACCTGTTGCCCGCGACTCCGTCCCCGTGGTATTAGAAAAGTTATTTAGTGGCCTATGTGTTTTTCCAGACTATGTTCTACATCTATACCAAATTTCATCAAGATCTATCTGGAGTTTTCGAGATATCTTCAAACAAAAGTCCATCCAACCATTCATACATCTAAACATTCGCATTTATTAAGATGAATTTCATTGATGATTTTAATGATTTTACGTTTTTTTCTTTTTGTAATAAGCATCAAAAAGAGCAGCAATGGCTGGCTGGAAAAAGGAGTTAATAATAAAATTAAAAACAACATTTTTGTTTGACAAAATAAAAGTTGAAGTTGTAACAGTGAAATGAGCGGGTACTAATGGCCCGTGAAATGAAATCGTTCACGTAGAAATATTTCCAACCGTTGAGAATTCAATATTTTGTTACGGAGTAAACATTCCATTTCCGCTGAAGATGGTCCGAGATTTAGATATCTCGGATGGCGCTCAAGATTCCAACGTTGTCTTTGTACTAGATATGCAATGTTTTTACACAAAGACTTAGAGATTACAACTTTGTTGATCAGCATGCTTGTTTGCAAATCACGATCAACAATGTTTGGACACTTCCACACAATGCAATAAAATTGGTGACATGTGCTTGTGACTTATTCCTAAACTTTTTGACGATTTCACTAGCGATATTGCAAATCCAATGTAAAATAGTTACGCCTTATTAATCGTTGATTTCTGAGACTAAAATCTTCGTTTAAACTTATTGTAATCTCTGTTTTGTTTTAGGTAATGACACGTGACGATGTGTTTTATTTATACAATGGTAAGTAGTTGTCAATATTATTTTCCTTTGACTACAAGTCGTTCCGCTTCCTTCCTACACTTGACCCGATTGTAAAGCTTCACAAATGTCTCTTGCCAATTTACGGCCGACGAAAGCGTGCCTTATCTAATTTTTATTCAAGGAACATGATGGATTGATTTTATTTTCTTCTACTGGTTCTACATTTACATTTATTGCAAATTAAATTATATTATCGCTGGCCGAAAATAATTAATGTATGTTTTGATCCGTAATATCTTGAAAAAAGTTTCACAACCTTCTTGTAAACACTAGACCGTCTGTGGTTTTATACAATCTTCAAGAAAATAAATGTATGCCATTAGAATAATTAGTTACTGTTACTTAGTAAACTGCTTAGAAGGTTTAACACAACTTAAATAAAAAAAGTTTAAGTTCGTTTTTTAAAAAAAAAAGATAATGTAAGAGTAAGTTTAAACTCAGTCGAACGTTTCTATCAACCTCTTCAATCTTCTTCACACGGACAGAATTTCTAAAGCAAATAATTTGTATGAAGTGAGTCTTTTCATAACTTTTTGACTTGAACAGGTACTCGACTTAAGTGCACTTTGTCCCTCCTACAAGCTCGTCTACTCATCCGACATACAACTTACACTTCTCTTTGTTTCTAAAGACTTCTAATGAAGATTTATTCGTTTTAATTTTGTTTCTTAACAAGCAAATCGATAAATACATACAAAATTAACTTGTTAAAAGTATTATAAGTAACACCACAACTGAGTGTTATATATTCAAATTAGTCGAACTGAGCCAATGTTATGCGTTATTAAATATTTGTCCCCAAACGAATAATTTCTAAATACTATTTTTTTTTTTCAAAACAAGTTTCTCGTGATTTATGTTAGAATTAGAGATACTTTTTCTATTTGAAAATAAAGGTATACTAAATAAAAACCCTAGTGTGATTCATTATCGGGAGTGTCTGGAGGCCTATAATCTGCTCTCCCTTCGGACTTCCATTTGTGAGGGATCGTTAAATGACGTCACGGCGGCCATGTCTGCAGATAATACGTCATAAAATAAATTACTGTCGTTATGCGTAGCAAGGGAAGCCCGTCTGTAAGGACATAGCGAAGTTGATGGGTCATTCGGGCTAGTTCTATCATAGGAGGTGTATAAAATGGCATTATAATGTTTAATATTCTAGCAAAAGTAATTATGTTGTTTATTTTATTCTATTTATAATAGTTCTAACACACCTGGTATCTTCCTACGTTCAGTGGTTTTTTCTTTAGGCAATTTTTTATTGAGACTCATCTTTTAGAACATTAAATAGTCCTTTTTATACACTTTTTATTTCTTGTTTGAGAAATGTGTGACGGCCTTGATGGTCATTATTTTTTCAATTCTTAAATCTTGGGTAGTTAGTAAAATGAGGTTTCCAAGATAAAAAGTAAATACAGGACATTCCCATATATTTAATGTTGTCAGCATAGCCGAATATTTGTTTTATATAATCTACAAATATTGTATCGGAAGCGTAACCCAAAACATGAATGGAATGAATAGAACGAATCATAACAACTGCGAACAAAGAAAAGTGTTTTGAAAGAATACCAACCTAGCGTGTATTTACACAAGACAATATTATGTGCGAAAACAAATTCACACAAATGTTAACACAATTTTAAATAGTGTAGTACAGAATTCTATCAAGTGTCTTAATTTAAGTTAAAAATGCGTTAATTAAAAAAAAACTACGTAATAATTAGTAGGCACCTAATTGAAGTTATAATGCATTAGTTGTCAAATATCTTATAGCTCTTAACTTCGCGCAAGACTCTTTGCAGAACACAATTTTAGGTGTAGCATAGCGCAGTGCACCGATGACCTTGGATCGCCAAGATATTTGAAAGAACTTTATACCACATATATTATAAGTTCTGCAGATATTCCTAACGATAAAATTAAAGACTTAAAAAATATTTTAAACATAAAAGTGCGTTGTAAATTATTCTTTAGAATGTCCTAGATTGCTACGCATAATAATTGGTGAACTTAATAAGTAGCGTCGCGGTCGTCGCGGCCTTGCTCCGTGACGTAACACGACAGTGCCTCCTATCTTCACACCGGCTGAGCTATCGTGCGTGCGCCCGCGCCGTTCTGTCGTTCCAAATTCAAAGTTTATTATTTTTTAAACAATCTGCAGTGTCAGTATTTTATGACATTTAATTGAAACTTTTTCATTCAAATTAATTCTTTTTCTTGGTAAAGTGTGGCAAGTTAAAATGCTTGAAACATAAAAGATGACTATGTGACCATTGAAAGTGCATTGGATTATATCGAAACTGTTTATTCTTGAGGAGGATTGTTCTATTATATGAGTGTAAGTTATAATTTCATATTTGTATTGTTTTCTGTAATATTCTGAGAAAATTATCAACAATAAAACATTATTAGTTAATTTTCATTTAAAATTTTAAATTAGACGATAAAGTCGTGACTAATGTAGGTAGAATAAAAAACAACATTTTGAAGTAAATACGATGCAAAAACTATTAATTGTTAACTCATTTATTGAGTTTGTCTAAAGTATACTATAAATTATAACATTGTAAGGACAGAGCAATATAAAGGCACTAACAAATTGATAAAAAGAAACATATTCAACTAGAGAAGGTAAATGTCAAAGCCGAAACAGGTTATAGGGAAGCCAAATAAAGAATTCCCGCATACCTGAACCAGTCATATTTCTTTTTATTCTTGTATCGAATAGTCCATAATATATTATTCTAGATAAAGTATGAAGAAAGTACAAGACAATTGAAATATTTTTTTTGTAAATTTATTTGACATTCTGTAGGTTTTTCTTACAAACGATTTATGCTTATATTCTTGTTTTATTCATTAACTAAACTGCGACTCCGTTTGCGCGGAAATAAAAATTTACTAGCCTATGAGTTCCAAACTCTTTTCTACATCTATGTCAAGTTTCATGAGATTCATTTAGCTAGCTAGCTTGGAGATGCCTTCAAACAAACATCCATCCATCTAAATATTCGTATTTACAATATTAGTAAGATAATTGTTGCTAAGACAGGGACGAATAATTCTTACGATCGTCATGTCCCTGACGAATTAATTAACGTGTAATTGTCAAATCAATGACCATTTTAGTCCCGTTTCTGTCTAGACAAAAATATACTAAGCAAGCTATTTTTGTTTTCAATATTTTGTCTATTAATTAAAAACTGTATAACTGTTACTTTTTTAAATATGGTATCATCAAGTTTCTTTACACGTTCGTGAAAGCTGTTAGAAATTGACGTTATCTTATATAGAATCTTGTAAAAACTATTTCCCTATGAAGATCACCTCCTTAATTGGAAACTTGTACTCTCTTATTGGTTGAACCTCTGTATTGGAAGTCGTTTTTATCATGTATCATGTTTCTGAAGAGCGCGCTGTCTTCAATAAAATTTAATACGTTGATAACTCCCAGGACTAAATAAGTATTTCCTTGATCATGTTACTAACAGATTTTTAAAGAAAAGACGATTTACCAAGCCAGTTAAATATATCGTTATATTACAAACAGTTGGCCGCGACCTATTAACAGTCACCCGGGGATAGGTAGCATGTAGCTTCCCAATAGCCAAAGAATAGAAGAAACAAATCGATGGTAATATTTTTACTGTAATGTTTACTTATAATTTTCCAAGCTTTATGCTACTACAATAGAACATATTATGTTAATTTCGCTTGTCCTTCTTAACACGTATCTCATTATATTGCATCAATAGTTGGCATGCATATTGTGCAACGACCTAATGACACAAATGATACGTCCCTAACCGATGCGTAGATAAATTTAAATTGATTATTGTAAACGTATGAAGAATAGTATGACAGAGCGAAAATCTTGCCAAGTATTTAAATTATCAATTTAGAGTCAAGACTTTACGTATACATTATTTTGTTAATCAAAGTTTAACTAAAGAAATAACGCCGTTTTCAAACTATCCGGGTATAATTACATTCCCGATACATAAAATGTAATGTCGTCTGGGCCATACACGAACCACAGTTTACAGTCGCCTTTAAAATTGCTGCAAGCCATACGTACCGCTTCAAACTGTTAATACCAACTACTTGAATATGTTAGTGTATCCCACCCCTTAGTTTTTACTATGTTCACCGATGAGAAGCATAATATATTAATGTTTATAAGTTCTCTTAACAACTATAGCATGAATACTCGTAAAAGTAAGGTAAAAATTTTGATTGCAAATGCAAGGTTTTGTGTGAATGTCAAAGTCGTTGCAATTACTTGTTAGTACTTGTACCGTATTCGTGTAAATGACATCATGTCTCACAAGGTAAAGAACTTGTATCAACTTTGATTAAGTTGACAAGATAATATAAGATTTGAATTATGTAATAAAGAAATTTATTTACTAATACCATAATAACCTAGCTATCATTGTAGCACACATAATGTGTTAACGAACATTATGATAATAAAAGTGAGAATATTCTAGCCTGTACTTAAAGTTATCGTATCATTAGTTTTACGATGCAAAATTCAAGAGTTTATCAAAATGTATACAAATGAACTGAATAATGTTTGTACCGGTTTTAGTCACTTATAAAATTGTCAAGGATACATACAGAGTTTCACGACAATATGCTAAATACATCGCCGAATTATGTCATCAATGTGACAAAAAACCTAGACATGCTTTTTCTAGCTTTATCTGTGTATTTATTATGTCTATATTTTGTTCCGTTTTTAATAAGTCTACTTTACTCTAGTTAATTTTATTGTTTTTAATTCCGTAAGTGGTCATAGACAATTAGAAAGCTCGATGAAATCATATTCGATTAATAAAGACAATATAATTTAGGAGTTGAACGTTATCATTTGTTGTCGCATTAAAGACATGATGAATTAAAATAATTATCTATTCTAAATATTATTGTTTGTTTTTATTGTGATAAACGACATGTTATGACCACAGACAATTTAACAAACATATGCACACACAGATAAGTAACACTTATTAAGTTTTTAACAAGTAATAATTATTATTTAATAAAATAATAATTAATTTTACTATTGAGTAACCTGAAAATGTTTACTCGATGTTTTATGTTGATGCAAAGTGAATTGAAAATTTAAATCTTTACCATTTCTTCACAATGAACACATAATACGGTTGGTTACACACTTAGGTACACTTTTATCGTTTTTGCTTAAGAAATAGGATCAACGACACCAAGTCATTGTTTTCATACGAACAATGAACTCTTTGTCAATTATTCTTTATGGTATTAAGAAACTCGAGTTTCGATAAGATTTGTAAAATGTATATTTGATCATTAATAATTTAAAAACCTGTGAAATTGAAAGCCGAAACTCTTCTATTAATACATCTGTAGAAGTTTTTTTATTTTATTTAAAAGCTATACATTTTCGTAAAATGTCGATATTTGGTTTTAACATTTTTTATCGCACATAGAAAATCCCAATGTTCATCTATAGTAATAACCTAAAAGACTTACGTCTTTGATAAAATTATGTATAACAATAAAAATATGTCAGACAAAAACAGACTCAAATCTGAAGAAACCTTACGTCGTAGCAAAAAGTTGATGAATTGATAGCGGTTCATCCCAAGTTGTCAACTCACATCTCATCTATATATGTCGTTGTGTTACGAACACTCGAATTATGAATGTTTTTGTGCTATGTCCCTAATTCGAGCGAAATCCCTTTATGACGTTCCCTATTTACTGCTTACAATTGTTACTATATCTAAGTCCTGGCAGTTTAAGGAATATTCAACACAGTCGTAAGACTTTACTTAACGTAAGCGTTATTCGTAATAAATGGATGGGAAGGTGTTGGCAGAGTAGGGGACGCATAGGAAGAGGGAATATCCTCTATCTGTGCGCCCTTTTCTCTATCGATTAAATGAAGGCAACGCATCTGTAAATGCAGATCACTTCCCTATTTTAGCCAATTCAACTGGCTACTTTGTCATATTACCACCTTTTGCCATAAAAAAACAAGTAGGTAAAGAAAGAAAAATTGTAACAAAAACACAATTGTCATCTCCTCTTTTTCTCTTTAAAAAATATAAAAAAAAAATCATTTTTTGTTGGGATCTGTCGGCAGTGGAAACTCATTGTCAAAACAAAACATCTATATTCAATGCTCGTTGTGTTCTTCAAAGCGTGTAATGTCTAATAAAAGTACAAGAACAGATAATGCTTCCACTTGAGATAAGAAGGAAAACATTTACCAAATATATCCCACCTGAAGTATCCATTTTCGCTCAGCCGAAGAGCGCTTATACCTTTTTATAAACGGCTCTCGTCCTTGGCCCGTTCGTTTAGAGTTATTAACCTGAGACCCTCTCCCTACATTATCCTTTAACAAAACGCCGGCTCGGCGAACCATGACGATGTTACCTAGCTCCCATTTTACAATGACCCATCTGTTGTTTATTAACTCGTTTGATAAGATACAACCGCAGAGTTCTTATAATCTGGACGAGCTTGCCAATTAAGCGCCCAAAAATAGCACATCGTTTTTCACTAACGTATTACAGCTATGTTAGGTTAAAAGATAGTTCAATTTATTGCTTTACTTCATGCTTGTCTTTGAGAGCAATGAACGCGAAACAATCGTCTTCACGATCGTTGCGAATGCAAAATATTCTCATGTAAAAACTGGTAGAACATACACGAAATGTTAGAGTACAAATTTTATAATATTTCTATCATCTTTTGTAATATTTATATATAAATGTATATTTATAATAAATGACGATAATATGAAAAAGAAGTCCACTCCATGTCTCGTTTCAGTGATACTTGACTTAAATGTAATAAATCAGGTGAAGCAGGGATAATGGGCATTTCTGCTTTTCTATTTCTTAAGGGTCGTGTACTCACTTAAATTGTCTTGATTTTTATTTCAGAAATACGAATGACAAGCAGAAATGACAAGAAAATTTCTTTTTTGCTTCCCGCTGCGGATGGGGAACGTTGTGTTTGGCTACATTGTTATTGTAAGTACTTTTCTTTCTTAAGCTTCTCCTGAGGAAATTTAATAGCAAAGTTGTACCTTGGAGTCTTGCTTGCAAGTTTTGAACGAGGCAAAATTTGCTATAATAAATTTAACAGGCGCACAACTTGTACTGTATTTTCTGTGGGGTCCGAGATCTTTTTACTTCGTAAATCTAATTAGATACTGTTGACAAGTAGCTTCATCAAACATTTGTAAGAAAAAAATAATACTATTATGAAAATTCAAATACGCTTAATATGTAAATGTTAAGTAAGTATTAATATAACTTGAATATATTTGGAACAAAATAAACACAAAACAAATAAACACAGATACCAACAATGATTTATAATTTTATATTTAAATTAACCATGATAAAAATTAATTAAGTTACTACACACCAAAGCGTTAGTCCGAAAAATCAACGGACAAAACATTTTCTTGGATGTAGCGTTAAAGTAATTAATTCTTATAAAGTTTTTATCCAATTCCAGATAATAAGCATGGCAGTGGTGGCATTCAACCTTTATCAACTCGGCTTGGCTATAATTTCAAAGGACGATAATGAACTAGAGGCAAAGTTCAGTAACTTCGACAAATTGGAAAATATATTTGGAGATGAAAAGAAGGACC